CTTTGCCTCCCAGCTCTTTCCTCTATTTCCCTTGACTTTCATCCTGTCCCACTACCATGCTCAGTCCCCACCAGGGTTTCAGCAATTCCTCTTTGTTACATTACCACAAGTCACAACTTTCATTTCTTTAGTATCTGTGGCTAATAGTGGGATTACTGGATCATATATTGAATCATAAACATTTTTAAGTAAATGTTTTCCACAGTGGTTGTATTATTTTACAATTCCACGAACAATGTATGAGGCTCCAATCAAAAAGTTCATCTTCAAAGCTAATACTAGCCATTTACCTGGAGGCCCCAGCCAACAGAATGAGACAGACATTAAAAAAAAAACACTTTTAGTTGTGCTTTGAGTGAAAGTTTACAGAGAAAATTGGTTGTTCATTCAATAACTTATTTTGATTTATGATATTGATTGCAATTCCCACAATGTAACCACTACCTCCTTGTGTTTACCCTTTCTATTTGCCCTTCTTTCTTAGCCCTTCCTACTTTCTGAAATTTGTCTCGGTGGATTCCTCAGAATAAGAATTGGCATGATGTCAGTGGATAAGGGCCATAGTCCCTGGAGTTCCACCAGTCTCTGTCAGACTAGTAAGCCTGGTCTTCCCCCCACCCCTCTTAATAATTTTGATTTTATGTTCCACGTTCCCTCCCACTATGTCAGTGACTTCCTAATAATCTAGTTCCCGCATTATCTAGTTTTCCTAAGTTATAACTTGTACCCTTTGTACAAAATATGATCTACCTAGAAAATAGAAAAGCAAGGAGAATCAGGTGACAAAACTGAAAACTCATAAATGAATTTAGTTAGCTGAGAATATTCATGATAAATGTGGGGGGGACCTGGTTACTTATACACAAGCAATAATCTCTTGAATTTGGGGAGTGCTATTAATTTTTATTACTTTTGGTAAGAAATACCTCTTACTCTTTGACTTACTTAGTGCTTGCATGTTCTAAACATGCTTTGAATCTTAAGGAGAGAGGGCCAAGAACTGGAGATCCCCTTGCAGAGGGGTCTCGGGGAGGAGATGAGCCAGTCAGGGTGCGATGTAACAATGATGAGAAATACAACCTTCCTCTAGTTCCTAAAGGTTTCCTCCCCGCTCCCACTACCATGACTCCAATTCTATCTTGCAAGACTGGCTAGACCAGAGGAGGTACACTGGTACAGATAGGAACTGAAAATACAGGGAATCCAGGACGGATGAGCCCTATAGGACCAGTGGTATGAGTGGCAAAACAGGGAGGGTAAAGGGAGAATGGGTAGGAAAGAGGGAACCGATTACATGGAACTGTGTGTGACCTCCTCCCTGGGGGACAGACAATCAAAAAGTGGATGAAGGGAGAC